GGAGGGAGGGTGGTTGCTGCCGGCTGAGCATGGGTAAAGGAGCCACATGGGCAGGGCAGTGTGTAGTTCCCTTTTCGTTGACCTTTACAGGAGGGGAGGCAGAGGGCCCACAGCTTGTTCTGTGTTCAAGTTCTCAGTTAGAAGGAGTCAGGATTTGAACCCTGGTCTGATTCCAGAGCCTGGCTCGGACAACTTTGCTCCCAGGAAAAAGCATTCTCCCACTCCTCTCCTCCTTCACCCTAAATGACCTGGGAACTTTGTTGCCTGTGCCTCCCCCTTGCAATGACAATTTCTTCCAAGAGTCTAGATTTTGGTAGCAACTGCTTTGGAGGAGGAGGGAGGGAGAGGCCAGGACCAAGTGACGGTGCTTAAATGGCAGGTGGTCTTCACCGCAGACAGGTGTGGCTCATGAGGGTGCTGACGTCAACTTCTAAAGTTCTCCTCTTACCCCCCACCTCTGTGGCAATCAGCAAGCCCAAAGATTAGAGAGGCCAGCTGGGTGAGATAGAGCGCGAATAGAGACCTGAGGCTTTGAGCCCCCGAGAACCTGAAGATAACACCTCTACTACTCTGTTATCTGGAAGTAGCCAGCCTTGGGCAGGAGGGAGGCCATGCACAGCTGTGTGACTGGGTTAGTTCCTCAGGTTCTCTGATCCCATGGGCAAAGGAGCCTCCACTCAATCCAGATCTCGTTGGGCTGCAGTCATCCTGGGGCTCTGGTTGGGGATAAGAGGGCACAAGTCTGTGATTAGACAGGGACCCTAGCTGCCCTGTAGCCCGCCATTTAGAGAAGTACAGGAAGGGCACACAGCTTCGCAGCCATCACCAAAGCTCTGCTTTGGGTCCTGCCTTCCTGCCGAGCCTGGGTCTCTTTGCAAGGAAAGTGGGCATAGCAGATACCCCACAACCCCAGAAGGGCGCTGCTGATGTAACTCTGTCTCCCTGCAGCCGGAGGACGGAAGCCATGGGTGACTGGGGCTTCCTTGAGAAGCTGCTGGACCAGGTCCAGGAGCACTCCACCGTGGTGGGCAAGATCTGGCTGACAGTGCTCTTCATCTTCCGCATCCTCATCCTGGGCCTGGCGGGCGAGTCGGTGTGGGGCGATGAGCGGTCCGATTTTGAGTGTAATACGGCCCAGCCCGGCTGTTCCAATGTCTGCTACGATCAGGCTTTCCCCATCTCCCACATCCGCTACTGGGTGCTGCAGTTCCTCTTCGTCAGCACGCCCACCCTGATCTACCTGGGCCACGTCATTTACCTGTCTCGGCGAGAGGAGCGACTGCGGCAGAAGGAGGAAGAGCTACGGGCCCTGCCAGCGGAAGACCCACAGGTGGAGCAGGCACTGGCGGCCGTAGAACGTCAGATAGCCAAGATCTCCGTGGCAGAGGATGGCCGCGTGCGGATCCGCGGTGCGCTGATGGGCACCTATGTGGTCAGTGTGCTGTGTAAGAGCATGCTAGAGGCCGGCTTCCTCTATGGTCAGTGGCGCCTCTACGGCTGGACCATGGAGCCCTTGTTTGTGTGCCAGCGTGCACCCTGCCCCCACGCCGTGGACTGTTTTGTCTCCCGGCCCACAGAGAAGACCATCTTCATCATCTTCATGCTGGTGGTCGGCCTCATCTCCCTGGTACTCAACCTGCTGGAGCTGATGTACCTGCTCTGCCGCTGCCTCCGTCAGGGAATGAGGGCACAGCAGGGCCAGGCTGCACGCCCAGCCCAGGGCATGTCCTCAAACTCTTACCCTGACCAGGGCTTTTTCTACCTCCCTATGGGCAAGGTGCCTTCGTCCCCACCATGCCCCACCTGTAATGGGCTCTCATCCAGTGAGCAAAACTGGGCCAACTTGACCACAGAGGAGAGGCTGGCTTCTTCCAGGCCTCCCCCATTCCTGGACCCACCCCCCCAGAGTAGCGAGAAATCTCCCAGTCCTCCCAGTACCTGTGCTTCCAAGAAGCAGTATGTGTAGGGGCCTCGGGCTTATGTCACTCAGCAGAGGTGTCCTGAGAAATTGTCAGGCTGCCCCCTCCTGGAAGGTTCTGCAGAGGCAACTGGATGGAGGAAGTAGGTGCTTGCTGGCCAAAGGGCCTCCTGGAAGGTGGCTGTGGAACTCTAGGGGCTTCCTGGGGACCAGAGAGCACTATGGCTTCTTCCGTCAGTGTCCGCTCAGGGTACTCTTGACCAAGGTGTTGCAGGACCATTTCCACCTGATCCCGAGGGATCCCGAGCCATCTTACCCCCACCACTGTGGAAGCATTGGCAGGGCTGGTGCCAGATCCAGCCCTGTCCAGAGGACTAGTGCCTTGTTTTCATCACCCCTTCCTAGTTCCACTGTTTATGCTTCTAAAATAAACAGGACTTGATCACAAGTGGGGTGCTTATTGATGCTGTCATGATGTGCCTCGGGGCAATGTTGGAGAGACAGTTATTTTGCCCAGGTTTCCTTTTCTTCAGTCCTGCAAAGTCCATCACAGGTCTCTGCAGCCTCAGCTCCAGCTAGCATCTTAAACCCTCAAGCACCAGCATTCTGTCTCTCAGCGGCTCTGACTCTTAACCATTTCACCTTTGAAATGCTTGCACGCACCTTTTCTTTCCCACCTAGGACCTGATGATCAACCTGCTCATTCATTAGTGGCCAAAGTAGTGTTCCTTCCCCCATCTGGCCCCTGCAACGCACTCCCTTACTGGACACCTTCCTCCCAGGAATGTCCACCAGACAAGGCAGACAGAGTCCAATTCAAAAAACCCCGTGTTCCCTGCACCCACCTCACCTTGCCATGGGCCCCTTGGGGTTACAGAAGGGAGGTTTAGGTCACTTGCCCTCCCCACCTTGGCCCTTTCTATCTGCCCACCACTCAAAGGTCTGCATCACAGCTCCTCTCCCTGTATCTGAAACTCAAGGGGAGAATGGACAAAGGCAGCCCGGAGTGCCCTTCCTCGACACTTACAAACCCAGCAGTACCTTAAACATTAGTGGCTCTGGAAGAGGCAGAGCTGGGGTGCAAAAGAAAAGAGTACAGTGAACTTTGGTATCAGAAGATCCTGGCCTGAAGTCAATCATTTCCCCTCTCTGATTCTTGTTTTCTCATCTTAAATGCCTGCCTCACAAGGGATGAGAAATAAGCAAAAGTCTATGACTATGCCTGACTCATAATAGTCAAGCAGTAAAATTCAGGGTACTTTGCAGCAATACTATGTAGATCATCTCCTAGGAAGCTCTTTGACTTCTCCAGCCATAGCCCCTCTACCTCTCAGAATCTGGACTCCTGCTTAGTGTATGCTTGTCTCAGTGAGTCCCTAAATACTGCCAGGGAAACACTTGCATTCCTCAAGGCCCAACCCAGCATGAGCTCTGACTATGAAATAAGGAATTGGGACAGACTTGACAGAAAGGAGGTAGTTCACATCTTGAAGGGGCATGGACCCAGAAGGCTGAGGGCCCCTTTGAAAGGAACCCTAGGCAGGAAGAGAGCCCAGAGGTTGTGGTCTCTTGGAGCCCTCCTTACTTGAGGACCCTGGGAGCCTGTGTTTCCAGTATCCAACCTGTCCTAGCTTGTAAAGGTGGAGGGAGAAAGGTTTAAGTGAGAGAAGAGGATGTCCTTTCCCTCCTCACAACTTACCCACTCTACTTTGAGCTTGATGTAGGGCTAAAGGTCAGTGGGTCTGGACATTTGAAGTGACCCAGACTGGTGGCCACACACACACAAAGGAAAATGGGCTGGGACTTAAAGGTGAGGCCAGTGTAGTTTGGGGGGTTGAAATGATTTGGGGAGGAACAGTACATCATGAAAATTGCGGGGGAGAGTGGCTGAGAGCTCCATCTCACCTGCCTTAGTTTGCTAGAGCTGCCATAACAAAGTACCAAAAGCTGGGTGGCTCAAACATCAGAAATGTATTTTCTCTCAGTTCTGCAGGCTACAAAGTCCTAGATCCAAGGGTGTGAAGGGCTGGATTCCCCCAAGGGCTGTGAGGGAGAATGTGTTCCATGTATCTCTCCTGGCTTCTGGGAGATTTCTGGCCATCCCTTGCTTTTCTTAGCTTCTAGAAGCATCTTTTCTATCTCTGCCTCTATCTTCACATGATGTTCTCCCTGGGTGAATGTCTGTCTCTGCATACAAATTTCCCCTGCTCATAATAATAATAGTCTTGGTGCTGGGGATTCAGCTCAGTGGCACCAAGCCTGCCTCTCAAGCTCAAGGTCCGAAGTTCAATCCCCAGTACCAAAAAAAAAAGTCTTACTGGATTCGGACCAATGATTTCAAATTAAAGACATTCTTCCCAAACAAGGTTATATTCGGAGGTACTGTAATTAAGACTTCAGTTGGGGGGCATAATTCAACTATACCCCAACCCCACCGGCCCCCACTCCAAACTCTTCTCAGGCTGAGGAGAATGGGAAGGTATAGGTTGAACCCGGGATCGCCCTGGTGGCAGGGTCTTGGTGGAACCCAGCAGGTTTACATCTCTCTCCTTCCTCTGCTCCCTTCCTCCTACTACCAGCCTGTTCCTGACCATTACCAAAGGCTAAGCCTAAGCTCTCAGTCACAGACCATCCATCAACCACTGCATCTTCTGGAGTTTGGAGACTTTGGTTCCTACTTCCCTCCCTTCATACTCCCTTGACAATGGTTCTTTCCATTCTCTGTGCCTCAGTTTCCCCACTGTAAAATGAAAGGGTGGGTAAAAACCAGGGCCATTAAGTAGGGGGGTCACTGCACAGAGATTTGCCACTAATCACTGGTTCAAAGCGCATACTGATATGCTATTCTTCACGAATCAGAAGGGATTCAAGGTTATTTCTATAAAAAGATCAGTTCCAGTCACTTGAATTTGCATTGCCTTCCTGAGTAGGAAAGAGAGGCATGAGGTTATGTGGAGTGCACTGGGAATTTTGCATAACCCAAGGTCATCTTATCTGTGACCCATGGGAGCATGTGAATGTCGTGGGCTGCACATAAACAAGGCAGATGTCAAACAAGGGTGATGTCAAAACTTCTTCCCAAAGTAACGTTCGGGTCTACAAGTGGCTGGGCTGCTCACCTTATGGTTCTACCACTGATCTCCAGTACCTTGGCTGGGTGATCTTTATTTCCTTCTTGCAGAATCCCTCGCAGAATTGCCAAAACATCTTTTTCTCCCTTTAAGCTTTCCTTACAAATCTTGGTTCTGACCCCAGGAAGCCAATGACACTCAGCTGTCCTGTCCCTCAAGTCAGGCACTGCAGTCACGTGGTTCCTCCAGCTGACCCTGATTCTCAGAAGTCTCTGGCCAACCTGCAATTTATCTACTTTCCTCTTAACATGAGCAACTCATGTGTGCTGGATGTGATGATCCAGATTATCAGAACGCAGATGATCGCCTCTTGCCCCCAAATTTCTACCTCTGTTAATCCAAGCTAGAATGACACCAACTTTTCTATTTTCTTCTCTTTTTCATAAATGGATTTTTTTTTCAGATTTTAAAGGCAATGCATGATCATTGTAAGCAATGGGCGCTACCATCCAGCGGTAACATCTGTTAATAGTTAGAAGTGGGTCAGGGACTTAGCTTAGTGGTACTGTGCCTGCCTCAAAAGCACAAGGTCCTGAGTTCAATCCCTGGTACCAAAAAAAAAAAAAAAAAAAAAAACATTCCTTCTAGCTTTCTTCCGTGCATACATTTAAATAAAATCTGAGTAAAAGCATGCCTGCAATTTCATGTTCTGTTTCTTATATTTTACATTTTAATCACAAGCCTTTTACCCACATTCTTATCTTTGGAAACATCACTTACTGGTTATATCATAAAGCTTTATCATTAGCTTCTTCACTGTGATCCCAATACTGGATTTTAAAAACATTTACAACTAGTGATCGTCTATAATAAATTGTACTGTGATGTAGTTGCCTTACATAAATGTTTTCTAAATGTCTATTTCCTTAAAATAATGATTTCCCAAGAAGTAAAATTACTAGGTCAAAAGGTATGAGATTTTAAATTAAAAGAAATTTAGGGGCTTTTTTTATCTGATTATGAAAGTGATTAATTGTAGATGATCCAGAAACAGAAAAACACAAGCTAATCACAAGAAATGAAAGTATGGTACCAACCGTCTCCAAGTGGGGTGAAGGTGGAGCTGTGAAAAAAGGAGCTGACCCCAAACAGCCCCCCTCCATCCCAGCAGAGTTGGCCTGCCCCTTTCCACCCTGAGGAAGGATGGAAGTGTATTCTCTACAGAGGATAAAATAGTTTCAGGAGGAGGAACCAACCTGTGCGCGAGGGTAAGAGCTCAGGGAAAATACAGAGCAATTAAATGGTAGTCTACATACTGACTGGTGAGACTTCGGTGTCCCCCCACCCCATCTGGTCCCTAGAGCACTGACTGATGAATAAAGCTAAAGAAAGAGGCAAATCCAGCCTGGAGGTCCTGGGAGCCTGCCTGGAGGAGGCGAGTTACAAATCTTCAAAGGTGAGGACAATCTAGGAAGAGCTGGGGAACAGCGTTCCAGGCAGAAGGAACAGCATTTTCCAAGGCTCTGAAGAAGAAGAAATGCTTGAAATGTTTGTTGCCCAGGGTTGTTTTTTATTTGTATTGCCAAACTGCTTTCCAGGAAAAACAATTATATGTTCAATAGCATCATATGAAAATGCTAATTTCAAGGCACTCACATCAGTATTATCATCATTTTTCTTTTGCCTATTATTAAACAGCAAGAAAAATGATGTCACCTTTCAGTAGATAAGCCTTTGATTATGAATGGGAGTAGACATTTTAACATAGACTTCCTCAGCCAGCAGCATATTTCTTCTGTAATTTTTTGGCTCACTTTCCTATCAGATTTTAGTGTTTTCAGATCAATTTGCAGTGGTGCTGCCACCTGCCTTGCAAGCGTAAGGACCCAAGTTCAATCTCTGGTACCAAAAAAAACCCCAGATCAATTCTATGAACTCTTTACAGAAAGATTACTATGGTCTGAATGTTCACACACACACACACACTCATCACATGTTGAAGTCATAACACCAAAGATGATGGTATTAGGAGGTAGGGCCTCTGGGAGGGGATTAGGTCATAAAGATGGATGCTTCATGAATGGAAATAGTGCCCTTATAAAAAAGGTCCTTTCCACCACGTCAGGACAGCCAAAAAGTGAGAAATAGGCGCTCACTGGACACTGAATTTATCTGGATCCTGGACTTTCTAGCCTTCAGAACTGAAAAAAAAAAAGACTTGTGTTTTGTTTCTAAGTCACCTGCCTAGTTCATTATATTTTATTATAGATCAAATGAACTAAGACAGACTATCTATAATTTATCTGTCATATTTGTTATTAAAATTTTTTGTCTGTGGAAGTTTTTAGTTTCTAAGTAGTTGATTTATCAATTTTCCCCTTCTAAGAAATTTGTGATTTAGCACCACCACATTACATTAACTTCAGCATCTATGGAGAAGTGCTAACTTCATTTCCCCCAAATGACCAACCCATGGTTCCAGCAGTACTTACTAGACAACCCTCCTACTAATGTGTAATATCAGCAATACCATAACTACATTTTGGGCTGGGGATTTAGCTCAGTGGTTTCACTGCCTGCCTCATAACTAAATTTTTATACATAAAACAATCTATTTCTAGGTTTCCTATAATTCTGATCCATTGATCTATCATTTTATATGACACTTCCAGTATTTTCATTAGTTTAGCTTTGTAATACATCTTAATGACTATCTAGCAGAATACATTCACCTTTTATTACTTTTCATTTTCTTGAAAATCCTGGAAGCTAGGTATATACATGCATTCTCCAGAAAGGTGTTTGGGAGTCCTTTTGGTGGACTCTGATAGACTCCAAAGGAAAGATATCAAGAGACAGGGACTGGGGTTTCCCAAGGAAACAGCCAGATGCTATACAGTGAATGCTGTGGTCAGCAAGTCCTGATCACTAACAGAGTGACCAATCAGCTCCTTTGTCTTCTTTCTTCCCCCACTAAGCTACTTTTTAATTTTCTTAGCACACTCATCAAAAACCTCTAATATAATGTTTTTACTTTTATTGTTTTTAACAGGCTTTTTTTTTTCCCCGTATCAGGGATTGAACTCAGGACCTTGCACTTGCCAGGCAGGTGTGGTGCTGCTGAGCTAAATCCTTGGTTCCAGACTTTATTTTTTAGAGCAACTTTAGGTTTAACAAAGAACTAAATAAAAGATAAGAGATTTCCCTTATAGTCCCTGCTGCTACCACATGCCCAACCTATTATCGAAATCCTTTACTAAGGGGATGTATTTGTTACAACTGATGAACCTATATTGACACAACATTATCACCAAAAGCCCATAGTTTACGTTCGGATCCACTCGTGGTCAAATAATTTTTTGGTTCGCTTTGGTGTTTTTATTGGCATTTTTTTTTTGCTGGGGATTGAACTAAGGGTCTTCTGTATGCCAGGCAAGTGCTCTACCATTGAGCTATACTCCCAGACCTAGTGAGTCTGGATTCCTTAAATGTGAGTACACAGCAGAGGGTCCCAGGCATTTAAGAAAAGTTTTTTTTTTTTACATGAAAGGGTCTGAAATTTTAAAAATAAGCCTTTCCAAAGGAAAGAGAAATTTTGGATGGAGAACACTTTTTTTAAAATTATCATTTCTTTATTCAAGAGAAAAAAGAGCCTATTGCATCCATGAAATAAGGAAGAAGACTCTAAAAAAGAAATACCAGCAGTGAACAAAAAACCACATATTGTAATGCAAAAAATGATAGAACTGAAAACTTTAATAGAATGATTGAAAAATAGTTAAGCAACTCCCCACAAACTACAACAAAAGACAAAAATAGAAACATTACAAAAGACTTTTTAAAAGTCAGAGGACCAGTTCAGGAAGTCCAACTAACAGAAGTTCCAGAAAAAGGGAACAGAAAAAATAGTGATGTAGGTAATCAAAGAAAATTCAGTACTTTGAGTTGAGGGGGCCATAGAATGCTCAACCCAATGGATGAGTGTCAGTCCATGCTATTGAAGAGTTTCAGAACACCAGACAAAGAAGTGGACCTACAAGTTTCCAGAGAAAGAGTGTAGTGTCACAGTCTGAAGAATTAGTGTGACATCAGACTTTGCAACTACACTAGAAGCTACCAGGCAATGGAAGGATGCCCTCAAAATTTCAACATTTTCAACCTGGAAGCCCTGCAGTTGTGTTAATAACATTGTTCCTTGACGATTTTAACAAACTTGCCTGTAAAGCCAGCCAGACCCAGTGCCTTTTTAATGTCATTCTTCAAAATATTCTCACTGTCTTCAGCCACAATGTCTACTCAAATTTCTTTCATCATGAATTTAACCCAGTGATTTATATTTCCTCACAAAAAAAAAGCCTATTGGAATTAAGTGTTCAGTCAGCCTTCTCTTATTACATTATATATCCTCATTTTGTTTATACAACTTTATAAAAGCCCTACATGAAATTGTTCCTTGGCTTCTTGTGTGCCATGTGGATATATTTTATAATCAAGATTATGCTAGCTTGGTAATATAATTGGAAAGATTTCCTACTAAACCCCCTCAGCCTTTTACAAGTGAACTGCCACTAAGCAATTACTAAGCATGAGTTTATGGAACTGAGGATCAGGGCAATAAAAGTGACAAATCTGACATCTGCACTTAAATCTGCAATGAAATGTCATCATGTCCACTTCAGCTCATTGATCCAACTGACAGGAACCATCCTCTTAAATCTGGTTTCTCTCATCCAGAGAATTAGTCACTCCTAGCTTTGACAAATCAGATTTATCCTTCAGCTGATAAATCTAAGAGGCTTAATGTAACTAAGTGTCATCCCTTGGTGGAGATGATGCTGAATCCTGGGCCTGGATGTGTGAGGATTTGGTTAAGTACAAATACTATTTCTAAAAGGCCATACCCCTTTCTCCACCTCACCCCTCACAATAGGAGGCTTCAAGGTGTCACAGAGAGCCCAATGTTGTGGGAGACCTGGTTATTCGGGTAATTCCCTGAGCCTAGGTCACCTCCATTAGTCCGGCTCAAGATGACCCAGAGGAATTTCTAAAGCCAGAAACAGGAACTCTCTAGAGGAGGAAGGGTGAATCCTCAGAGGCAGGATGAGAACAGGCTGATGTAGGAAACCAAATCCAACACAGAGTCTCTAAAGCTTCCAAGCAGAGTTGCCTAGGAATGCATGCACCAGGGAAATAGTTTCATTAAAGTCTGTAGAATTAAACTGAGCTGACCTCAGAGATTCTGACAGAACTCAGAAAGAACCTTCAGGATTAGAGGTGCAAAAGCTGAGAGCCCATGATAGCTTCCCAAGAGGCTCTAGAGTGACCTCCAAAGGACAGAGAAGATAACAGCAGGGCACTTCAGAGCCAGACACACCTGGAACAGAGATAATGAGGGACAGAAACAAGACCAAGACTGAACTCTACCAAGCAACCATTCTATGACATCAAAAGAACTTTTGACATTATTTCCAAGTGAGGAAATGCATACAATTGTATTTCAACATGTATGTGAAAAATAATTCAGTATTCACATGTTTGAAACATACCAACATTCTTACAACTCTGTTTGT